TCAGAACTAAGGTTCAAGCAAGTTTATAGGGAAGCTAATATGTGTGAGATTCAACTTCAAAGAAATACATGTAACTTTGTTGCGTGCCCTAATTTCATTTAGCACTTATTAAATAATGACTTATTTGGTGATTATATTTCCCACTACTTAGTTGAGTAGTTTTTTCTCTCTCTGAACTTCGGCTCTCCTTATATAATATGAGTTAATGGAGTTGTACAAAATATAATTTAGTAATAATAAAAAGAAAATCACTTGTCTTAATTTTTAATTTTTTAATTTAATTAATTATTAATAAAATCTTTAACAAGATTATTAATTTTAACATCTTCGATAGTTTCTCTACAAAAAAATAAAGTTTGTAATAACTTAAATTTTGTACCTAAAAAAATGATAACAAATTAGCAAGCAACAGTCAAATTAAGAATTAAAGAAATAAAAAATGAATTTTTTTACCAAAAAGTCACTTAAAATTTGTACCTAAAAAACATGATAAAAATTAACAAACAACAACAAAATTAAGAATTGAATAAATAAAAAATTAAAAAATAAAGACAAATCACAATATTAATAAAAGAAGAGAAATAATGAAGAACAAACCCGAACAAAGAAAATTACAAAAATGTTATAAAAAATATATTGTAAACATAATAAAAATAGTATAAATTTGTTAATGTGTTGAAAATACTAATTAGATAATCAAAGAAAAAAAATAATAAAGAATAAATATGCAAAAAAAAAATTATATGAACAATTCTTATAAGAGAAAATAATGAAGAATGAATAAATACAAAGAAAATTGTGTGGATAAATTCTATTGAGACGAGTTTATGTGAAAGTAAATTGATAGTTATTTTTGAGGAAATTGATAGTTAGTGGTGAGTGAAGTGATTTAGTGAATGATTTTTTAATTAAATATGAATGATTAAATGAGAGATTATAAATGGAGTTAGTGAGTCGAATTAGTGAAATGTATTACCAATTTTATTTTTTAATTAATTATTTAATTATTCTTAATGAATAATTGAACAAATAATTAAGTTGAAGTTACAAATCTTATTTAATAAATATTTTATGGAAATTATAATCAACATAATATATATTTCAGGGAATAAATAATTTTTTATAAAATATTATTAAATTACTAAATTTAATAAAATTTATGATAACTTAGTATTTTAGGAAAGTTATAATGAACCTAAGACTAATTTATTAAATTTAATAATACATTGCTCAATGAATAATTTGGATATACATGATCCCGCAAGTACACATCATGATAATTAAAAATATCATCCACAGAACGTAGATTAAAAATAATATATTTATATTAAAAAATTATATAATCGAAATATATATATATATATATATATATATATATATATATATATATATATATATATATATATATATATATATATATATATATATATATATATATATATATAAATTAAGTGAAAGAGAATGTTAATATTTATTAAATAATTAAAAATAAATAAAATAAAATAAATATAAGAGTTAGTGATAAAAATTAATTTAGTAGATAACTAATAAAAATATTAAAATAAATATAAAATTACTAAAATAATAATTAAATAAATAAGAGTTAATGGAAGAAAATTAAGAGTTAATAATATAATTAAATTTAAAAAATAGAAGGAAAATTACAAAAACTACACAATTTTATAAAGACACAATTTTATAAAGACATAATCCGATGTCTCAATATTAAAACATAATTTCAAGATAAATATTAAGACATAATCTGTTGACAAAACAATTTTATTAAAATAGAAATTATGCATAATTAAATTACATAAAATAAAAGACACAATCAATTGTTAACCCAGTTTAGTGCAATATCACCTACTCTGTGGGCTAACAAGCTAGAAAGAAAATCCACTATTATAGTTTTAATTCAAAACCTAAAATATTCCGGTTTACAACTTATCACCTAATCACTATCCTATGCAATATCTACCTAAGAACCTCCTAGATATGAGAATCCCCTCTCACTTGCTACAATCACCTCACTGATAAAACCAATCACAAACCAGTGACAAGAATCAAAACAGAAGATTACACTTCCAATAAACAATACTTAACTTTTTGCTTAAAAGCTCATGAGTGAGAAAAATAACTTGATACACAACCAAATCTTTGCTTAACAATCCATGAGTGATTGCCAAGTAACAATGAACAATCAGTCTACCTCAATGTATCAGAAGATACATGAGTGAAATTATAGTGCTTGAAAAACATCATTACAAACCCAGTAAAGGAATCTCGTAAGTTTTCCCCCTTTGTCATTTGGGGTTAGCTGGACTAACCTAGTCCCTTCGACCCTCCTGGTTTTTACCTCATCATCTTCTTCGTTGATAATATTGTATGTTGGGAGCGAAGACTCAAAAGTGCCATTCAACCACAATTAAAGTAGCCAGAAGAGGCTAGCGAGCAAGACATTTGTTCATAGTTGGTAATTCCTTAGGAGCTCGACAGTCTCTCCTAAAGATTCATAGAGGGAGCCTAAAATAATTTGGCTCAAGCACAATTTATGCCCAGCATGAATTTGGTTTGCCATGATGAGATATCTCTTTGCTACTTGGAGGGATCTCGAGCAGAAGACGTGACGTGATAACCATAATGCCAAGAAGGTAATATGTTCTTTGTCCGAAACTTCTTCAGTAGTTTTGTCGTGGTGGTCAGCTATATAGTGTGTGAAATTGGGTTTACCTTTTACAAAGCCAATGGTATCTTCATCTATTTCGAAGGGGTCGAAGGTTTCCCTAATTGGTCAAAGGCCAGTGATGACAACAATATCGAATAATATTGGAGTCATCATTCCACAAGGGAAGTGAAAAGTATTGTGGGTGGAATCCCAGAAGTACAGTGAAACCACCAACATACTTTGGCTATGCCAAAGACCAAATTTCGACAGTTGAATCATGTCATAAATCTCCATATCTTCCCAGAATTGGATTTTTTGGTTTTCAACCTTAGCAAGCCAAGAAAGATAGGATCTAGGGTCTTTCATCAGAGGGAAAGATCGAAACACTTTAAGAGTGTTGATCATATAGTCGAGGTTAATTTTTTCTTCAATTTCTGAAGCTTCAGTCGAAGATTCCGCTGGGTTACTTATAAGTTTTGGGTGTCATATTTTTTACTACCTTTATTATTAGGATTTTGTTTACTAGCCAAGGGTTTGGTACAATGATAAACATGAAAGAAATCTTTAATTTTCTCTACATCTACATTAGGGTCAGACAATGGACCCATCATGCATTTCACCAACAATGGTTAAAGGAATAAGTGTCTGAGATTCATAGATTTTGCATTTTTTCCTTAAAGAGTGGAGGCTCAGGCACATATTCCCGATTTTCTACTAACAGTGGTTTTACTACTTGAACGATTGGAATTGAAGTTTCTTTTTGATGTTGCTTGAGTGCTTTACTGGTTCTGAACGTCATTTGTGAAAATTGGAGTTTAGAAGTTGAAGAAATTTGTAAAGATTGTGAAGACGAAGAAGCTCAAGAGTGCATAGATTTGAAGATTCAGAAGATGGAAAAGTGTTAAAAAATGAAGGGTTTTAGTATTTATAAGGAGGAAAGAGGCGTTTCAGTTTTCACTTTGGAAGTTGAATAAAGAGTTACTGGGGCACGTGTAATGATCTGAAAGGATGCGTTGGCGGTTGGTTTTACAAGTTACCTCCATGCTCCTATTTTTTAGGGGTGATGATGCTAGCTACAACGCACGTCTCGATGAGACGTTTTTTGAAAAGTGATCATCATGACCATGACATCACAACAGTAATTGTTGACGCGTTGAAGACTTTCAAAAATGTCTCTTTCTCACTTTAATCGAAAAAGAAATTTTTGGGGGACAATTTTTTAGCTAGAAATTCGATGCTCAAGGTCGAACAGAGATATTAAGGTTTTTAAGAGAATCAAGAGTAATGAAGATATTGTTCGACGAAGATAAAATGTGGTCTTTCGACCAAGGTTTTGATGAAACAATACAAACTCGAAACAAAGCGTTTTGAAAGATGTTTAAAGCGGGTTCGACAAGGATAATTTGAAATAAGGCTAACCATTTGAATCTTGGCGCTTATTTCGTTTTTTTAAAGGAGACGCGTGGAAGCCTGCGAAGGGTGGAACACATGCAAGCGAGAACGTGTCCTCTTCTGAAGAGAAAATCGTTCGTACCAAATTAGTATAAATAGGAGTCTCTAGTCTTCTGATTCAGTGTGTTCAACTCTTGTACAAATTATTCTATTCACTCAAAGTATCAAAGTTAATCGAGAAACGAGTTTTCTGAGAATATATGTTTGAAACACCACATTTTACCATTCAATGCAAATTTACGTCTAAAAATCATTTTATAATTTCTTTAGATTTTTAGTCAAAACCTTTAGTTTCTTGTAATTTACATGCTTCGTTATCTTTGTTTTCTCAGTCATTTATATTCGAATTTATTTTTATTGTCAAAGAGATTATTACCCAAAAAACCTAAAAATACAAAAACTATACTATTGTCTTAGAATCAATTTAATCGAACCCGTAAATAACCACAATTATCACATTTTAGAAGACTAACGGTTATTTATCAAATTTTATAATAAACACCGATTCAACATTGATCAGCCTAGAACACCACCTTTTCTCCAAGTGAATAAAATGTGCTGATCAGAAGTTCCAATTATGACGGAACCCATATGAATGCTACACAGCCCTCACAAATTAGGCATGCATATATCCTATAATTAAGAGAAAAAGTTATTAAAGAATATATGAGGAAAATTGAAATGATTTGTCCAGGGTTCAACAATGAAGACAATGAAGAAGAATTTAAAATTATGCAATTTATATAATCTTTTAAAAGCCAATTTTCATATCTTCAGCTTCGAACATATCAGTCCAATTGTTGTCCATGTTGAATTCTAACTCTATAGAATCGATTCCATTTTTATAAATTCCGTTCATTCCATTTTTGTGTTGATTAAGGTGATGGCCAAACTTCATGAACTGAAACCAATCTACGCCACTCATCTCGACAAATGCTGTTCCTCAAAAAACACAAACAACCTCAAAATAATCCACGCGCGCACCATCATTTTGGGCATTTCACACCATGATTTCATTCGAACCAAACTCGTATCTTGTTACGCTTCATGTTCCCAATTGCACCAAGCCAATATCCTCTTTTCATTCACTAATCGCCAACCCATTTTCCTCTTCAACTCTCTCATCAGAGCCTATTCATCTCTTAACATGTTCTCTCATTCTCTCTCCCTTTTTCGCCGAATGGTTTTCTCTCCTAAGCCCTTTGATCGCCACACTTTGCCTCTTGTGTTAAAATCATGCGCTGGCTTATCGGCTTTAAGGCTGGGGAGACAGGTTCATGGAGCTCTTTTGGTTAATGGGTTTGGGTTGGATTTGAAAAATTCGAATGCTTTGATACATATGTATTGTAAGTGTGGACATTTGGATTTTGCACGCAAAGTGTTTGACGGAATGTGGAAGAGAAATGTGATTACAATGTCGACGATGATGGCGGGGTATGGAATGCATGGTAGGTTTGAAGAGGTTTTTGAGATGTTTTCTAGAATGGTGGAAGTTGGAGAGAGGCCAGATGGTGTTACTTTTACTGTAGTTTTGACTGCGTGTAGTCATGGTGGTTTTGTAGAGAAGGGGAGGGAGATATTTGAGACGATGAAGGTGGGGTTTGGGGTGAAACCTGAGCTGAGACATTATACATGTATGGTGGATATGTTGGGGAGGGTTGGTTTAGTGGAAGAAGCAGAGAAGTTGATTTTGAGAATGGATGTTGAGCCTGATGAAGCTTTGTGGGGTGCCCTGTTGGGGGCATGTAAAACTCATAGGAAGGTTGATGTGGCTGAGAGAGTTGCAGAGAGGGTTTATGGGACAGAAATTAGTGTTGTTGCATCCTCAAATTGAATTTTAATATACCATTTAGTAAGGGATCAATCCCATCACGGGTGCTGAAAAACCAGCTGCTATGAGGTAGAGATATCAATTGGTATCAGTAAGTGAAGAATTTGTGCGGACTGCCCCATTTAGCACACTGCGTCGCATTAAAGAAAATTGCAGAAAAAACCGGTGTTAATGTGGAAGCTTCAATGTATAATTTCTTAATTGTCAAAAACATCTTGGGACACAAACAAAGCTGCTAATGTCATCCCAAACATATACTTAGAGTCCAAAGGTGAGGAATTTTTTTCCGAAATACGATAGCAAAGAGAACACATGTAAGGATGTCTAGAAAGCGTCTACCGAAGACAACAGCCACACTCAGTGCCACCTTGTGGGAATACATTGACAGATTCACCACAGAAGCTGTACAGGTAATAGGGGTGAGTGACAAGTTAAAGTGATGGATCTTTAAGGAAGTTTTGAGGCCAGATACATGCTTAGAGAGAATCTGGATTTGGAAGAGCCACAGAGCATGAGCGAACTACTCGCCCGGGCTCAACTGTATATCAACTACGAGGAGGAGCTGCTGGCTGAAGAAATTGAAAAGGGTAAGACATTTGAAAAAACCCGGAACAACAAATGCCGGCCGAGATAGAGAGAGGAGCAAGATTACAAACAATAGCTTAAAAAGATTAAAATAGATTCAACTTCTGTTTTTTACCCTACAAAATATCAGCATGATATTTCTTTCTTACAGAAAATTGATATTCGAACATTCCGCATAATGTCATTTGTTTAACTATATGCTTACCTGAATCCTTATTTTGTTTCACTTTCAACTAATTAAATTGCAACCTGGTCATGGGTTTGATGTTGTTTTGACAAACTTTATGTTAATTGAGAGTGATTTGCTTTAGAGTTTTTTTTTCCTTTTTTTTTGACCTTCTCAAAGTCTCATGCAATTACTTTTGTTCTGTCTGCAATATATGGCCTGCTTGTCTAACATAGTTTGCTTTTTAATCGGTGGACGACAGTTGATGATTAAGCTGTTCAACCTTTTGTGCAAGAAAATGAGCTCTTTGATTTTATTACAAAAATATGTTTAACAAAGTTGAATGGCAACTACACCGGTTTTTCTAACGTATCTACTACTACATTTTCTGGCAAAAAAAAAACTTGTCTGTTTCTTAAAGCGCGCCTGAATCCTGATCTTAATATGATTTCATGTTCATTTAGAATCTTTGTATTCATTGCATAGATATATCATATCATGTAAATAGAAATAGTATCTCATATATAAAATAGGCTCTATTGTTTTGTTTAAATACACGGTTTTACTACGCCTCATTCAACAAGTATAGTTTTGTTTAATAGGGGAAACCCAGTTTTTTCTGTTAGTTAAGTATAAAAGATTTTGATGTTCTCCATTTATTAGGACTTGAGCCAAATGCTTTCATATAGTGATATTGATAGGAAAGATGGTGTACAATGTTGTTGCAAATGCAAGAAAAAGAAGTAGCCATTGTTGTACAACCAGGTTGAATTTTGATTTGATGGAAAAAAACTTCAGTTGTACAAGTAGCCATTATGATTATTGTGTGGCACTTTTTCAAGTGAAATTTTTTTCTCTACAATCACCTTAGAATTTGAATTTAGATTATCCATCAATGTGCAACTCATCACAACCATCTCTGAATGTGCCTTTGGAAGTATTTATACAAATTTTACACTTATATCCCAAAAACGAACTATAACTTTATACACGAAGAATGTCGAATATTTGTAGTTACACAAGTGATTGACACAAGGCTACAACAACAACAATGCATTGGATAAATGAATAAAACAATGCTTTTAATAAATCTACCAGAGGCCTATAAGTTATAGGCCTATAAGTTATAGCCATCAAGATTCTGTTCTCTTGCATGGACTTGGAAAAAACGGCGAGAAAAGAGATGTGAAATTTCACAACTTGTCATCAGGGGAAGACTTTTATTAGAATAGATAAACAATCTGGTTGAAATATCTCTCGCTTTTTCTTGTATTCAACCGTTATTGCATAAGCTAACTGTATCTTCAGAGAATCAGCATTTAGATAGATATTTAGCCTTCTTTGGCTTTTGAATCATTACTTGTATTGGCACTCATTTCCTTACTATCAGTATTTGCAGGGCAGACTGGGGCGTATTGACAGAATCGACATTTCCAGCGCTCGTCCTCGTGAACATAAGTAGCTTCTTGGTCTCCAAGCCAAAACTCAAGACAAGAATGAATTTGATCCTTTAGCCACTCTGAATCATATGCAAACTTATCTTCGCAAAGCAATGAATGGTCTTTCTGATACTCATATCTGGCATGAAACAAACAAAACCATGTCTCCTTACAAATTCAAACTTAGTTCATCAAAAAATAGTGTAAGTAAAGACTTATGACAGAATACTATCTTGAACTGAAAATTCCGAGCATACCTCAATAAAAGCTGATCGTTAGCCGGGGACAACATCGTATATGTATTTCTGTAATATCTCACCACATCATCAAGGGTCTGCATGCAACATCAATCAACCAACTAAATTATCTTAGTTTTGGAAACAAAAAAGAATTCAATGAGTGGTAGCAAGTCATTCTCCTCTACTTACCATAGCAGAAAATCCAGAGTCACCACTTAGCACTTTGAGATCTTCACATAGAATACTTTGAGGGTTTAAGCCAAAATAGGTAAAAAACTTTCTAGAAGGAAAGTTATCAGCAACTAAATTGTCCCACATATACTTGTAACACATCAATTGAAGCCTGCCAAAAGAAAGAACACCGTAAGGATTCATTCAAATTTCACATCAATAGAATAAAATAGATGGAAAAAGAATAGGCATACCTTCCATTTCTTCGCTGTGGTTCAGCGGGAAGTGTATCTCGAGCACGCGTCTTTGTGTCTATTAGTATTGGATTATGATCATTTTCTGTTAATGGCATCCGAACTTCGTCAATCACTCCTATCATCCATACATCGTCTGCAAAGCCTATTCTGATATCAGAAGAATAGTTTATCATGATCTAAAACTACCGAATTCCCACCATCAAAAACAAGTAAATTCTATGATTTCTAGTGTTATGTTATCAAAATTCAAAACCTACTAAACTTAGAGAAGTTCAGGATTGAGTTGTGAGATGTTATTAACTTACATCGGCAGTTCTCGAGTTAATCCTTCAAACAATAACTGATTCACACCATTAATAAAATTAAGAAGCTTTAGGGCCCATCGATCTTCTTGCGATTGAACCTTCACTTCCACCCGTGTTATAACCTGCATATCAGCAGCACTATCATCACTCCTATGCCATCCAACAACTTAAATGATACAAAAGTTGATCTAGTAGTACCTCTGCTTCAAGTTTGGCGTGTCGAGCAATGCCAGCTTTCATAAATTGATTGACCTTTTTCCCTCCAAGAAGGAGTGAAAACTCCATTTGTTTTGGGCACCATTCCTATCATAAATCAAAAGCCTTGAGCAAAAGTAAAACACAAATTGCAGAATGGTCATATGATAGATTTTATTACAAACAAAATGAATTTAAAAAAAAAAAATCCACTTAATAGCTCGATTCCATCCAAACCAACCCCATACTAGAATTCATACTATACCATCTATCAAATCTCATAATTAATCAATCAAATAAATAAATAAATAAATAAATAAAAAGAATGATACCGTGGATGTAAGATCGGTGACAGACAAAGCACGTTTCTTCCTGAATCTCCGAAGAAAGGAATCCGAAACCGCGGGTTTCTTCCTAGAATCAACACATCTGAGAGCATCTTCAATATCACCTCCACCACCACACGAAGAAGAAATCTTTCGTTTAGAAAGAAGAGTAATCGAGTTAATGGAGAGTGAACTGTTGTGAAGACGAGGAGAAGAAGAAGGCGTTGAAGAAGAACAACAAGAAGAAAGAGAACGAGCGAATATCGAGGAAGAAGTGACAGAAGCATAAGCTGCTTCAATGAAAGCCATTTCTTCGTCGCTGACGATTTCAATTGGAATATTGTTTTTTTTATTGTTGTTGTTGGATGAGGATGTTTCGGGTTCGGCCATGTTTGATGGTGTTGTTTTCTTTGACCACGTACAATGGTTGTTTTGAGATGGTAAAAGTGACCGTTGGAATGCCGTGTATTTTTGGGTTTCAATTGTTGTACCACACAAGAACAAAGATCCAAGCTTCTTCTATACTCTCTCGCCTTACTCATTTTTTATTTTGAATAATTATAAAATGAAAATTAATATCACCGTTATTTATAATCATTTTTTAAATAAATAAACGTCATTGATGTTGTTGCTCTTGTAACTTGTAGGTGTATCAAACTCCATTTTTAATTAGCTCATAGATAGAAGTCACTCTGTTTGGATGTGGGGAAATCCACATTGCAACTTCGCTTTTAAGCAGTCGGAAGGAGGGTCTGGTGGTCTGTTAATAATTTGGAACAATAACATTATGGCCGAAAGGCTCGTCATAGTAATAGACCACGTCCTCTAGATTGAAAGAGATAGAGGGAATCCGATTTAATTAGAATTATTTTTAATTAAATAATAAAATGATGTGGTGTATTTATATGAATTAGTGGATTTTATGATATGGTATGGTGTATTTGTTAAGAATTAGATGTATTCCAATAATAAGAGGTTTTAGAGGTGTATGACTAAATGTGTAGAAACATAGAGGTGTGTAGTATAATATGAGTTATTAGTATTATTTTATTATAATATTAGAATTAATATTATTATTTTATAATGATAATTAAATAATTAATTAAGTTAGAAATGTTATAAAATTATTTCGGATATATTAGAGTAAGAAGAAGATAAATAAATTTAGATCGTAGAAACATAAAAGAATCGTAGAAGAGAGAAGAGGAGAAAGAGTACTAGGAGGTTAGGGCAAGAAGATTCACAGTAGGATTCAATAATCATTACCAATCTAAGGTAAGGAGGATTCTAACTCTATAATGGGTTGCCTAATGATGGGGTATGGTAGGATTTAGGTCTCATAGTTATTTACTGTTGATTTCTCATTATTTGGTTGTTTTAGGGTTTTTTTTTTCCTGTTGATGGATTTTTTTATGCTTTTGGTGTATTTTTGGTGAAATTGGATGATATGATTAGTTAGAATTGATAGACAAATGTTGGTGAGTAATTAGCATACTTAAAAGATAAATTTTGATGGAAAAACTAAGAATTTTGGGTGTTGGAATGACATAAATCGTAACTGGAAAACTTGCAGTATTTTCTCTATTATCACAGGGTAACCGGTTACCCAGTTATGATAACCGGTTACCATATAAAAAGTTGGAAAACAAAGGCTACTGACTTTGCAGTAACTGGTTACCGCGAGGAATTTTAGAAAAACAAAGTTACTGACTTGCAGTAACCGGTTACCATAACTGAGTAACCTGGTTACCACTGTAGCTGACATGATATTTAGAAAACTTTGAAAATCAATAACTTTTAACTCGGGTGTCCATTTGACGCGTCGTTCGAACCTACGGAAAGCTAAAAATATTTTCTACTCAATAAAAATGATTTGAAAACATAATGATATGATTTTATGGATTTTGTTTCGTTCTGATGTTATGTTGTGAATGATTAAGATGACGTTGTACGGATATTTTAATTGTGTGACATGATATGCGTGATGATGATGATGATGGCTTGTATTGGCGTAGCATTGATAAGTAAAAGTAATTAATGTAAAATTGTGTTGTTGCATATCAGTGTCGCATGCATTCATTAAAAATGGCCTGTATTGGCGAAAGATGGCATGTATTGGCGTTGTTGCCCCAAGTTGGCATTATTAAGTTGAGGGTTTTGTCCTATTAAGATGGCCTGTATTGGCGTTATGAAGTTGTTTCACTAAGTTTGCATTTATTAAGTTGATGGTTTTGCCCTATTGGTACCAAATGCATTGAGTCGGTGTCAGTTTCACTGCATTACATAGTCGTCAATAGTTGATTGTTTAGACGTGGACTGAGTTCCTAATTTTGTTATGACGGATGTTGCACTATTATGCATTTGATATTATTGATGTGTTTCTTAGTATGATGAACAAGAAAAGGTGTGAGGTAAAGATATATAATGATGTGTGCTTGAATTTCTATCTGCTCATTATTATGCTTCCTCTTATATTGTTATGATATCTCACCCTTTCTGTTTGAATGTTACCCCCACGTAGATAACGCGCAGGTGACGAAGATTAGAGTAGCTTGAGGTATGGAGTTGCGCCTCATGGTGCGTAGATTGAGTCTGGTCCTGCTCTGATACGTAACACCGGGGATGAACATTTGTTTTGCTTATTTAGTTGTTGTTGTCTTTGAAAGATTGCGAGAGTATTATAACTCTTTTTAAATGGATGAGAAGTTTTTTGTGAATTGTTGGAGTTGTTGACCAATTATATTTTGGGTTGTTTTCGTTGCATTAATAAAGTGAAGTTGAATATCATGATGATTATGATGACGGTTCATCCGAAAATAATGTGTTATGTATTCATTTTTTAATGTTTGAGCAATTTTTGAGATGATGAAATGTGACATCCTATTTTGATGTTGATTGGAAAATTTTAATTACTCTGATTTCATTTAATTATTCGATGGGGAAAATAGGGTGTTACACGAAGCAAGGAGAAAATGCACTTTATGGACAACATTAAAATCCATGATTATAGCTAAGAGTGAGAACCATTGGTGCGTGTTAGAAGACTTCAACGCTATCAGGGACGAGTCAGAGAGAAGATGGTCAAATGTTGTTTTCTGCAAAGAGGAGATGTTGGTACAAGGTAATGAAAAGGAGAGAAGAAGAATGAACAAAGAGTGATAACAAAGAGGACTACTTTATAATATTCAAATAGAGGAATGAATTGAGTTACAATATTGATAGCCTAGGTAGCATATTTATACTAAAATTAAAAATGCCAAAAGGCCCTAATAAAGAATAAGCATTGGGAATTGTAGTCATTAACTAAATTACATTTCCAATACCATCCCTTAATTTAGATATTCTATCAGAAGCTAACAACACCAATTTCATCTCTCAAGCAAAGAAATTGATCTGTTTTAACTGCCTTTGTCAGAAGATCTGCAAGCTGTTTATGAGTGCTACAGTGCAGAACTTCTAACACTCCTTTCTGCACTTGACTTCTGAGAAAATGATACTTAGTCTCAATGTGTTTGCTTCTTCCATGTAGCACTGGATTCTTGGCAAGATCAATTGCAGACTTATTATCAATCATCAGCTCCAAAGGTACTTCTCCTGTCCACTCTGTCTCCGCACCAGTCAGAATCAGAATAACTTACTAATTCTGATTTTGTCTTTCTTTCAGAAGGAAACAACACTCCATATCTCAGAGTTCCCTTAATATATCTCAGAATTCTGACAGCAGCTTGGAAAATGAGACCACTTGGGATTACTCATGAATCTGCTGACCAATCCAACTGCATAACAAATGTCAGGTCTAGTATTACATAAATACCTTAGAGAGCCAACCAGCTGTTTGAAGGTTGTAGAATCAACAAAATCACCATCAGAGTCAGAATCCAATTTTTGATTGGTTTCTGATGGTGTCACAACAACTTTACAGTTCTGCAGCTTAAATCTCTTCAGAAGTTCTTGTTCATATTTTAACTGGTGCGGAATGATACCCTTCTTCGAGTACAGAATCTCCATCCCTAGGAAATATGTCATTTTTCCTAGATCTGTCATCTCGAACTCATTCATCAGAACTTCCTTGAACTTCTTTATATCTTCTGGGCAGCTACCTGTTAGCAAGATGTCATCAACATAGAGACACGCCAGAATCATATTGCTATCAGAGTGTTATACATAAACTCCATATTCCATCTCACACTTCTGAAATCTCTGCTTCTTGAAAAATGAATCAATTTTCAGATTCCAAGCTCTAGGCGCTTGCTTCAGTCCATACAGAGCTTTATTTAACTTGTATACCATCCCTTCCTGATTCTTTTTCACAAATCTAGGAGGTTGTGACACGTAAACTTCTTCCTGTAATGGACCGTTCAGAAATGTTGACTTCACATCCAGATGCATTAAAGGCCAATTTCTGTTTGCAGCTAAAGCAATCACCAGTCTGATTGTTTCATGCCTAGCTACAGGCGCAAACACCTCAAAATAATCTAGTCTAGGTTTCTGAAGAAAACCTCTAGCTACTAGTCTAGCTTTGTGCTTGCTAATGGAACCATCTGGCTTAAGTTTCAACTTAAAAACCCATCTGACGCTGATGGCTTTTTTCTTATCTGGAAGTTTAGTCAATTTCCAAGTTTTGTTCCTTTCTATTGCCTCAAGTTTTTCTTTCATGGCATTAAGCCATTCTTTCTTCTTGAGAGCTTCTTCAATGCCCACTGGTTCAGAATCTACTAACATGACACACTGAACGACTTCTCTTTCAGAGTCAACGTCATTATCCTGCAGCATGTCAAAATCTGCAAACCTTCTGGGTTTTTGTCTGATTCTTTGTGGTCTTTGAGCTTGTTCTGAAGCTGCACCAGAACTACTACTTTCAGAGTTACCACCTTCAGAGTTTTCCCTTCCAGAACTATGATTACCACCAGATTCTGGATCATCATCAGTATCTGGATCAGAATTAGATCCATTTCCAGAATCTTCTTCTGACTCATCTTCAGAATCTTCAGGATCTTCAGAATCAGATTCATCTTCTGAACTTTCTAAAACATCTTCAGAGGATAACTCTGGTTTTGGCAATACACCTGAATCAGATTGAGATTTGTTCCAATCCCATGCTTCATAATCTTTCACCACAACGTCTCTGCTGACTTTAACTTTATTAGTTTATGGACAATAAAGCTTATATGCACCTGTACTGTGGTACCCTACCAGCAACATTATTTTGCTTCTATCATCCAGTTTTTGTCTTCTAGCTTCTGGAACGTGTTTGTAACAGACAGAGCCAAACACCTTCAGATGACTGACACTCTGCTTATCTCCAGTCCATTTCTATAAAGGAACATCTTCCTTCAGTTTCTTCGTTGGACACCTGTTCAGAATATATGTTGATGTGGCAACAACTTCTC